CATTTATAGCTAAATGGATGCACATTGAGGCCATACTCTTAAGTGAAATAAATAGGACACACATGTATAAATACCGAATAGTTTCTGTAGTGTGAAAAACTGAAAGTGTATATGAGGAATAAAAGGTAGAAAAGATAATGTGAACTAGGAAAAAAACGGTCAAAGGTGAAGGAGAAGGGAGAGGCGTAGGGGAAAGGAAAGAAGGGAATAGAATTAATATGAGAAAATGAAAAAATGGAAAGAAAGTCTTAGTAAATAGGGAGGAGTGGAGGGGTTGAAGGGAGGGCAGGGGAACTGGGAAAAATAAGAACCAAGAGAGATTATGTAAAGGTGTAAATTTCCAATAATGGATGCCATTATATTGTATACCTAAAATGTACCAATAAAATTAATTTTTAATATACCACATCTTTTTTATCTATTCATCCATTGTTAGGCATTTGGCCTATTTCCAAGATTTAGCTATTACAAACTGATCTGGTACAAACACAGGTGTGCAAATATCACTGTGGTATGATGCTTTTAAGTTTTCCAGATGATACCAAGAGGGGGAATAGCTGGATTAAATGGAACCTCTAGTGTTAGTTTTATGAAGAATCTCCACTCTGATTTCTACAGTGGTTGCAACAGTCTGCAATCCCACAAACAGTGGAGAAGGGTTTTCTTTTCTCCACAGCCCCACTGGCATTTGTTCTTTGTAGAGTGAGATGGAAGGAATCTCAGTGTTGTTTTTATTTGCATCTCTTGAATGACCAGTGATGTTGAAGATTTTTTCATATATTTATTGGCTGCTCTTACTTCTTTGAGAAGTGTCTTCATCATTTGAGAAATTTGGGAGGGTCTGACTTTTTGAGTTCTTTATATATTCTAGACTTTAGTCCTTTGTCTGTGGAATAACAAATAAAATTGTTTTCCCATTCTGTGGGTTGTTTCTTCACTCTCTTGGTGGTTTATTTTGCTGTGCAAAATCTTTTCAGCATAATGTGAAGTTTTTCGACTCTTTGAAATTTTTGCTCTGTGATCAGGCTTTTGTTCATAAAGTCTTTGCCTACACCTATGTCTTCAGGAGTTTTACCTATTCTATCTTCCAGAAGATTGTGGTTCTGTTTAATATTTAGATTTTTGAGCCAATTTAGTTTAGTTTAGTGCATGGTAAGAGCTATGAGTCTAGCTTTAATCTTTGGCATGTGTAAAGTCAGGTTTTCCAGCACCATTTATTAAAGAGATTATCTTTCTTCTATTGAGGGTATTTGACCCAAAGCTTTGTCAAAATAAGGTGCCTGAGTGCATTTGGATCTTGATTCTGAATCTTTGAATCTGTTCCAGGGATCCTCAGGTCTTTTTCTTTTTTTTTTTTTTCCTCAGTACCATGTTATTTTTATCACAGTAGCTTTTTTTTTCCTTTTTGCACTTTATTAAATTCTTTTATTGGTACATTGTAGGTGTACAACACAATTACATTTCTCATTGGGAATTGTACCTTTACATAATGCATCCTGGTTCTTATTTTTACCCCATTCCTAGGCCT